AAACAAGGGAACTAAAACGAAAAGTAGGCAAGTTCAACAAGGGCATTATAAAGATGCTATTGTATTGAAACAGGAAGAGGGGATAATTTCTCCGTTTAGCACTTTCTTAATGGCTGGTTGGCAAGTGTAATCACAGGCTTTTAAATTCGAATAGGAATTTCTGCCCACGTAACATCTGCTTGAGGTCTCATCACCCATGAACTGGGAGGCAACAAAGCACTCTATCCAGGACTTTGCAGCAGAACTGGGAGGACAGCAGAGCTGGGGGTGATCTGGGATGTGCTACAAGGGACACACAGTTTCAGTATTTTCTGGACAGTTTTGTTTAGTGACAGAATTTGCAGTTATTTCAGTACTCTGATCAAGAGGAATTACTCTGCGTGAGCTGCTCCTGTTCATGGTAACCTATCTTTCTCCAGCCAACAAGGATATTGCTGATGTGAGGAGGACTCACGCAGACAGCTCACGCCATCCCAGGGATTTCACGCATCCTGTAATCTACGTGATTTCACTGGGATTTTCTTTGGGTTGTTATTTTTACTAATGCTATTATTATGAAAGTTGTTTCCTGAGGACAGAAAAATGCTAGCTCAGCTATTCAGCTAAGAAGTTCTTCAATTTCTTTCCTCTTTGAAAATCAGCTCCCCAGAGCCTTTCTGAAATAAATCCGAATTTTCTGCTTAGTACATCCTCCTGAGGCAAAAACTGCTGAGGGATGCAGTGATTCTCCCTGTGCGAGGGAGGGCTTGGGTTTCCCTCACCTGGGCTTTACCTCAGCACTGGCCACAGCTCCGGGATCACAGGCCCGCTCCAAGACACACGAGATAAAGTTTTGCTTGTTTTTTTGTCCAACTCCCTCGGCTCTGGCTGAGACTCAGTGAGTTTGGGGAAGTATGAGCAGGGCAGATGCCCTGTCCGGCCCAGGGCTCCGGCGCAGCCAGTGCCCACGGCTGCACCAGTGCTGGGGGGTGGGTGTGGGGCTTGGGGGGGCACAGAGCAGCACCCTGGCTGTGCTCACACAGAGATGCTGTCCTGCTGCCGCAGGTGCCTGACAGCCTGGAGGGAGCTATCACCATGAAACTCTGATTATTACGGAAGATTGCTGCCATTACTACAGAGGTAGGGTCAAACCAAACAGAAATTACCAGTGTTTCTGTTTGTCATAAAATAGGGTGGCATTAGCTATGAACCCTTGTAAATGAAAAACGATGCAAAGATTGGCACTTCCATGGAATTGCTCAGGCAAGGGAAATGCAGCGAGCGGGGCTGTTGGAGCCAGGGATGGGGGCTTAGTGGGGCGTCCATGACTCGGGAGAGCAGGCAGCATGGTCTTGAGTGTCAAACGGAAATCAGCAGAACAATGAGCAAATTCCTCCTTCATTCATGTAGTTTGTCCCAGAGTATTGCTGGCAAACAGACCACGGGGATCTTGGTGTTGCTGGCACTGCAGGCGGGAAAATGCCGCTCAGCGTTTGGGGCAGCTTTCTCCCGTACTCACATTTTTGCCCGTTGTTTCTGATGCTGCAGGTAACCACTTGTCTGCACTTGGCTTTGGTGCTGGCTGTTCCCACGGCAACAGAACATGCTCTGGATTTGCCTTGACCCATTCCAAGGTACTTCATTAGCTTTAATGAACTGCATTTTTAATAGAAACCTACACTAGATTTTTTAAATATGTGCTTTAAATTTGTATTTTTCATTACAAGTGACATGGAAACATAAGATACATAATTATATTTGCATGACTAACGCACTGTCTTTAAAATATATTTAAAGCTGCAAAATACAATTGCACATTATCTTTGAGAGCAGTCCAGGGGAAAAAAACCACAATGTTTCTTGAACATTCAAGTAGCATTGCCACTGAAGGCTGACTGCAGAGCTTTGTGAGCCGAGTAGAGCTACCAGGATGTGCCTCTGGCACTTGGACAAAGATCCAGATTTTCTAAGCCTGTGCATCTGCAAAGAGGAGCCAAAATCCACTTCTCTGCGGCTCACCTGCAGTACTGGCCCCCTCACAGACCTGATTTTGGTGAGATGCTCAGCCCTGCAAAAAAAAGGCAGGCTATGTTACCTTTTATTGCAAAAAAGAAGGGTAGATATTTTTTTGCTGTGGAGCATGAAAGGAAAATTTCCTCTTTCCTGTCTGTCTGTAGTGCCCAAGTGCTGAGTGTGTTCTCATTCCCTTGGTTCTGATATACCAAGTGATTTTGTTTTCAGAGGGGAGGTCACTTGGCCGGGGCAGTTCCTCAGCCCTCTGACCCCTGGCAATGGGCAGCGCAGTGCACCCGCGGGATTTCACTTCTCCCGTGTCCCCATCGTTCAAGGAGCAGCCTGAGAGTCAGCCCTCACTTCAGGAGACTGTGAGACTGAAACTAAAAAGAAGAGGAGGGGAAGGAAGTTCTAGGAATACTGGGGTGTGTTTATTTTGCTTGCAGTACTCAGAATGAAACAGACTATTCCTTTGTGGCTGCTTGCAGGCTTTGCAAAGGGGCCAGCAGCCAGCACTCGGTTTGTGAGTCTCCTGCCCCTGCCCGGTGGCCGTGCTCAGGGGGCAGCTCTGCCACCAGCACCGCTCTCCCAGGGACCCTCGCCTTGGCAGCGAGGCTCAAAGGGGTGCGAGTCCCACGATGGCAGACTCTCCCATGGGACGGGGCCTGTGCTGGTCCTTCTTGTTTCCCTTGGTAATAAACTTCTCCCTGAGTTTCTGAGTACCTGGAAACTGAGGAGCAAGAAAACAACTATTTCTGGGATGGCACTTGTGCCAGACTCGGCTCCTTTTCAGAGGATTAGATTAAAGGGAAATCTTTGCACTTGCACGGTGTGTCTCGTTTCCATTAGCGTGACCAATCTTCTCGAGTGGCTGTGCTGAAGTGATGACAAGCACACAATGGTTTGATTATCCCCTTACCGAGGGACGTGGCAAAATCTCAGCATTTTAAATATAAGTGTAGGGGGTCTGAGCCATCCAGGCGTGGGTGTTATTCACTAGCGTGAGATCCAGTTTTCCAGTAATGCAAGTGACAGCCAGTATTGAGTGGAAATTGATTATCTGTGCGAGGCAAGGATTAAAAATAGAGGCTTTGTGTCAAACCCCACGTATGTTTTGACTAAAGCCTAGATAACAAGAAGAATGGATAAAAGACAGAAATTATACAGAGAACACCAAAAACCAAGAAGCCAGGATTAACGAGAAGAAGGATTTGAGCGTGTTAGTGCAATGAGTGATTGTCAAGTGCCACCCTGGCATCCTGCTGGGGCTGCCGTGGCTGCTGCCTCATGCCGTACAGGTGCTTCCATCTGCAAGAGGCGCTTCCGCCTCACGGCATTAACAGCCGAGGCTCAGTTCAGCTCAGGCCAAGGTCTGGGGGGACTGCGGGTGGTTTTTGACCCACCAGCCACTCCAAGGCCCAGGAAATGCAGGAACTGCAGTGTTCCTAGCCTGAGTGTCCGCTGCCAGTCACGCAGCCTGCCCTTGCAGTGCCTCATACCACGCACCGGTCTCTTATTAGCACATTTTATAGCATCTGCTCTGACGACTGTCACCGTCTAAAATCACAAAACACACAATTGCTGTTCTCGCAAGAGGAAATATTTCACCAGACAAGGCAAGGCTTACAAATAAAGTAATTTTATTGAGTTTCTGCTTCTATAGCATGTGGCACATAAGGAGGATTAAGACACAAGGTATGATGAGAAATTATGTGTTTGTCCTTCACTGAAGAAAGGATTCATCTTACCAGAAAAACAATGCAAACAAATGCCCTTCTCTACCAGTCATGATGTTCAGTGAAGGCTGATGCTGTGACATTTAAGAAGATGGAAACTGAAGCTGACCCGAAAATTGTGGCTGATGTATGCAGTTCTGCTAACCTACTGTAAGGAGAAATGGCTGCCTCACTAGCAAATTTTGTTTTAACTTGAAACCAAAATATTTTCATTTACATAATTTAATTATAGTAAAACAAACAGCACTAATGTACTCAGAGAAAAGTCCACGATGAGAAAGTGTCCAAAATCCACAGCTGTCTGATAAAGATCAGCTGAGTTAGCTGTGTTTGCAAAGCTAGTGCTTGGGATGTTATAACTTCATTTTTGGCCTCTGCAGCCAAGTTTTGTTTATTTAAACCTTGATCTTCCTCCAGTGTTTAGGCCTTAGAAGCTTTTTTATCAAGGAAGTGCTGATAGTTCAAGAAAAAAGATTTGGAAGCTTTTTTTAATGTTGGTGGTGTGTTTATTTCCCTTTATCCTTTTGTTCACCCTTTATTACTAGGATCATACAAGAACTAAAAATCTAGCGTTCTTGCAAGGCTGTCACCTATCTCTGTAACACCTTTCCCCTTTGTGTCTGACCCTCGCTTGTGGCAATGCAGTTCTCTCCGCTCCAGATAACGTGGTGATGTACGGGGGATGCTGAGCAGCAGCTACAAAGGGGTCTTAAGAAACTTATCATGCAGATAGCTCTAGGGAGACTTTAAATAAGGGAAAAAGATTTCCCCCCTGAGGAACTGACCATGTTTTTTATATGACGGAAGAAAAGTGGGATACACACTGCACAAACTTCTGACAGCTCACGAACACCTCCCCGCGGACAGGAGAGCTGTGAATGCACGGCCGGGCGTGGGCTGACGCCGAAGCCGAGAGCTGCTCCTGGACCAGAAGTCTCCCATGTCCTTCGCCGCCGCTCTGGCGGGCGGGCAGCAGCGCAGCAGGGCTGGACCAGATGTCCCCTCCCCGGCCACCTGCGCCGCCTGCAGACACTCAGATCATCGTTGCACTTTTCCAGCCTTCGTACACACTAAAAGCTATTTTATACGTTAATTTTACAGACCAAACTTCCAGCTCATGTCTCAGTCCACCTTCTTCGTCTGGAAACAGATCCGTACAGTAAAAGCCACAAAAAAAACATCACCTTGAGAAACATATTAGACAAAGACGTATTGACCACAAAAAGGGGTTCTGCCTTTACTTACGCAGGAACAACTAGACTGGTGAGTCTTGCTGCTGCCACTGCTGCTCAGCAAGAAATTACTGAGACTGTAGGCCAAGTACAAAAATAACTTGGTTTAGTCCCGTTTTACTCGCTGTGCTCTGTATCACGGTGTGGGCGGTGGTTTAGGTGAGGGACAGGAACCCTGGCTGTCAAAGCTCGCTGCCCGGCCTTGCCACTGGTGGGAGAAAAAAGAAAGCAAGTCTAAGCAAACAGAAGAGAGCGTTTGAAATTCTTCACACCCCTTTACCACGTTGCCCGTCTCCCGTTCTGCAACGTTCTCATCTGCTCTACAGCATGTTTCAACTTATTGATCGCCTGTGCTTAACCACTCAAGAAGAATTACCGAACAATTTGCTTTATTGCTTTGTAAATCAATTCACAGTCGCGAGAACTGCTCACAAAAAGGGGGAGATAAACAGTATCTCTGTGTGCTCTGAAGACGAAGTTCGCTCTCGGTTTAGCTTTCTGATATTTCCTGGTCCAGTGCCATTGCCCTCCTGTTTCAGAAGTACTGCCTAATCGCCAAATTACTTGAGTCTTTCCAGTCTGGTAGCTGACTACCCAGAAGCTGTGTCCACAGCACCAGAGATGTTTCTCAAAGTGAAAATCACATCAGAGAGTCAGGAGATGTAGCAAACATTTTTTACCATACTTATGGGATCATAAATTATTAGTCATCTGCCTTGGGGGCTATTATTATAATTCAAACCCATTACTCCTCATTTTGAGTACTAGCCCATCTCACTGTCTTGTTTTATTCAATTCAAATGACAAATGATGGACATGTCCCAGAGACAACAGGAGCTACAGTACTTCTACTGCCCCCTTCCCCCTCAGATCAGTTCCTTCCTCTCCTCCAGAAGCAGAAACTCTTTGCTGACTAGTATCAATGAAGTGAATGAAGAAGCTGAAAATGTTGTCCTTCCAAAGAGGCCACCTTAAGGTAAGAAATCAATTTCTTCTATGTTTCTCATATTAAATGCATTTGCTGAAATCCCTGGGGAACTGATCATATGGATACCGCCTCCCCAGGGGAGAGCAGAAATGACAACAGAAATGGGCTTTGGCAGAGTCCTCAGCATGCTCCTTCCTGCAGTTACAGCAACAACTTCTGCTATTCCAAAACTGTGACAGAAACTTTTCCACGACTAGGTTCAAGTGATCGGTGTGCTGGGAGGAACGTGGAGATACTTTTCCTTCTTTTAATTAGAAACGGTGAACCATCTATTCTGTAATTAACAGTCAGAAACTAGGAACACATCGATGAAAGTCAAACATGCCAGAAGTCTGAAAGAGGTTAGGTTTGCATATCTTTAAAGATAAATGGCTGCTCTTCATTATGGGCATGACTTAGCTCTCAGCAGAGTTACCAGTTTTTATCTGGAGGAGTAGTTTAAACAAATAAGTGCTCCCATGCTGAATGTCAGAGGGTCTTGGCAACATCAAAGACCCATTTTGCATTGCACTGATGCTGCGGCTCTACAGTGCCAGACAGAGTTTGTCTTTCATAGATAACAGAGAAATCTTCAATTTTCGGAAGTCCTCTTCAAAGTCGGGAAAGATGCGTTGGAATTTTATATTTCTTTTTACAGACACATCACTTAACTTCATTGATGGATTTATTGAGAAATGCAGAAGAAAAAGCAAAGGGTGGGATGGCTGAAGCTTGTCTGGGGAGCTGAGGCCACTGCAGGATCTTGGGAAAAATGAACACAGATTTGTGCTGAGGACAAGAGTTCACTGTCAGAATAAATTTAAAATGCAACAGCAAGTGGGATTCCTGTCTTCTTCTTGCAAATTCTCCTTCCAAACAGCTGTGTGAGGAGGATAGTATGTAGAAGGCTGTAATTAATGATTCATTTGCACTTGGTCTCTATTTAATGATGATGGTCATTATAGAAGCGCAGTCACTACAGGGTGCTACTCACTGGTGATAAATATGGAGCAACCAAAGACATGACGTGTACCAGAAGTAAGTTTCCCTGAAGATTGCAGCAATGAAAGAGAAGAAGGAGCAACACTGGCTCACAGAGAAAGGGCCTGAGTCAGGCGGCTGCCCTCAAAAGGAGGGATTTGGGCAGTGTTAGCCCAGTTCTGGGGCTGCTGGAACTGTCCCGATGCCGCCGAGGGCCCTTGTGTTGGGCAGGCAAGGAGCCGTGCCCACGGTGCAGGAGGATGCCCCAGGGGTACCCTGTCCGCCTCCCTCTGATTCTGAGCTGTAGCCAAAACATGGCATAAATCCCTTTTTTTTTTGGCCAGAGTTTTTTCACCAGTCCACAGCCCCGGGCTGTGTGGTATGGGGGGGCTCAGGCCCCCAACAGCAGAGCGGCATCGGAGACGGCAGAGCCCTGTGCTCCCGAGTTAACAGCTCCGGTGTCCGCTGCTCCCTTTATGCGTTCAGAAAGACAATTCAATCCCAGCTTCCTCGCTGTCAGCTTAAGATCAAGCACTCAATCAGGAAAGACGCTGAAGTGCAGCGGACGCTGTTGCTAATCTCTACCGCAAACAGAGAAGAGCATGAGGATCAACTGGAGGGCAAATGCTCCATTTGCTGGTGCCCAGCTGCAAACGCTTTTGAAAGTGATGAAGATGAAGATGAGGATGGAGGATGACTGCACAGGATGCCAGCACAGCCTGAGCTCACCCCCATGTAAGATAAAAAGGTGAAGAAGGGATGGAGGCTCAGCAGCTTCTCCCCAGCGCCTGCGTCCAAGGGCAGACAGGCTAGCAGCGACCCTCGGCCCCAGCGCCCCGGCCTCGACAGTGGTGGGTAATGAAGGTACCAGACAGAGCCCAAACACCTTTAAAAAATGCACAGACACGTGTGGAAAGGAGATTACTTGTAGCTAATAAGCGTAATTTCCCATTAATTTCTCTCCAGGAGCCTGTATCTTTTCTGTTTGGTTTAAAGCTGCATTAAGGATTTACAGGCAGCCGTGTTAAAACATAAAAGGGCAAATACGTACTGGGACCATTTGGTTGCTGGCTCGGTGCAGCAGCTTGTGGCAGAAATACCAGAACAGATGATCAGAGGGTTTTTTTTGTCTTTTGTTTTAAGCAGAGCTCCTGACCTGTGCACTTGGGGGGTGAAATGATTCACTCAGGGTTTTTTCCAAAGTCTTGGGGGATCAGCAGTGGTTTTCAAAGTATATTTTAGAAGGTGAGTCATCTTACATGCCTGACTTGGTTTCTGAGCGTCATCACCATAATTGTGCCTCTTTTTGTTTCCTATTGATTATCAAAAACTTTTTCTTTCAAACTCCCACCTGCATCTGAAAATTAGTGAGTATAGTCATATAAATTACAAACCGAAGAAGGACCTCCTGCCCCTGGGTCGGACACGGCAGCTGGGGTCCTCATGCCGTGAGGTGCTACGGACGATACAGACCTCAAGCGAACCCGCCAAGCGACAGATTGCGCAGCCTTTGTGCCGAGCGCGGCCGTGCCTGATGCCCAGCTCCCCGGGGCAGCGCGAGGTGCCGCCTGCCCAGACAGCCACGGCTCCTGTGTGCGGTGCCAGAGCTTCAGCATGGAAAGGCTGGCGGGAGCCTGGCACCGCTCCCCGCTCAAACGTAGTGCTCCCGTTTCACACAAATTGCACGTCGGTTCAGTTCTAGTTTGATTTACACCGGTTCTGCACCGCTGACATACTGCAGCAGCACAATGTGAGGTCACAAAATGCTCCATACACGTGAACGTGGATTTCCAAATTTCTGGGATCTGATACGTGTATCTCCACTGCGTCTTAAACTAAAATATGAATTGCCAGGTTTTCCCACTGGGTATAATTGACCTGAGTCCAAGAAAAGAGGCTTTTCCTCTGGACAGAGCTCTGTGTTTCATCTGTGATAGTGAAATGCAGGACTGCAAACAGCAGCAGAGCTCTGCTCAGGTATCTGGCTGCATCTCCCACAGCTGCAGCTTACAAATGCTCAGAGAAAACAAAGAACAGAAGAAGCAGACCTGCCCTTGGGATGGGCACAGGTGAATTTTTAGGAACCGGCCTGATGAGTAAGAGTTGGGATAGAGAGCACTGAGCACAAACTGCATTCTTGTGAGAGGAAAGAAGAGATTTCAGAGAAACACAGGGTTTGACGTATACTAATTCAGACTGCTGGGGAGGATCACCAAGCCTAGTATCTGCCTTCCAGCAGGGCTCAGTATCTGAACTTCAAGGGGAAAATAAGATGCTTTTTGTTCTGTACTTAGTCTGCATCTTTGTGGGAATATGCCATCTTAGCCCCAGATACACTGGGAGGTTTTACTGCCTGTATTATACCATCACTGGCCACAAATACTGTCTTTCTTTTCACACCTTTTCATTTTCCACATCTCTCTCATCCAGAATTTATTACCTAAATCAGGCAAAACCCAAAGAGCTCTATAGGAGTGTGAGAAAATGGAGTGCAAGGAGGAAGAAAATGCTAGTGATGGTCAAAATGGTACCCAGGCATTTCAACCCTATTTTATCATCTGAGGCTGCATCAAGTGAATCTCTTTCTCTGGAGATGCTTAGAGCAATTGCATTTGTTCTATTTATTCTCCCTCAAAGGCTTGGAGATGAGTCAACAGAAAAATCTTTTAGGATTAAATAATTGAAACTTGAAATAGGTGATATCCCTGGACAATTTGTTCTGCAATCAGAACAGCATTCACTTTCCTTACTGCTCTCAATCTCTAATTTAAAAAAAAAAAACCACAGCAACAAGAACAAAACAAAATCCAATACAACAGTCACATCTGTAAACACAGTTTCTTTCCTTCTTGCCTGCAAGCTCAAGGAGCTATTTCAAGACAATACAGAAATGGTTGTTTTCTAGAGTTCATTTCTGGTGAGAAAATTCCCTCGGTTCTTCTCAGAAAATCCCACGTGAGAGTAGAAGCTCTCTGAAAACCTTGAACCAGCTCACTCATGCACAGTACATGCACTGAAAGAAAAGAACAAGTACACACCTCCTTGAAAGACTTCTTGACCTCCACCAAGGGATGCCAGTGGGCGATGGGCTTGCGTGGGTATGCCAGCATCTCATTCCAGTGGTCTCTGCCCAGTCCTTCGGCGTTGACCCCCACACGGCAAACCCCAATAATCTCATTGTGACCCACTCTGAAGAGCAGTAGAAAAGCAACATGATTATCTCTCATGCAGACTGCCCACACAGTGTCCAGCTGAGACCTCTGACCCCACGACATCGGCACTGCGAGGCACGGTGCAAGTAAACATGGGCTGTCGGGACTGCACGATCTCGTTTGCCCCTGCCAGCACATGCAGCCCCCAGCGCAGACAGACTGATGCCACAGAGCTGTGCGGTCAAGACCCTGATACGAGAAAAACAGCCACTGAGCAGGAAAACCTGCACCCAACAGATGTTTTCCCCTCCAGCTTTCCAGAGCCTCCCACCTACCGATCGTAATCCATGACGGAGATAAGCAGACTGACTTGATCCATGTTCTCCGGGGGAATGTCAAAGATTATTGCTTCATTGTAAGTGGGATTAAGTGTGTTTTTCTTTATGGTGGTTTTCTTCTTTTTCAGTCTTCGCCCATCACAGAGCAAAGACACTTTGACATAGGGATCTGGAGAGGAAGAGATAGGAAAAGGCCTTCTATGTATGGGGGTTAATGTTGCTACCATCACAATGTAGAAACAGCATTATCCCAGGCTGGACTGTGAGTTACCATGAGGCAAATGTAATTTTAGAAAAAGAGATGTCTGTGTACCAATTGAATCTCCCATTTCTCGTACTTGTGTGAGTGCTGACATGAGGTTCAGGCACTGAAGAACCAGCACTGCAGACTTCTTGGAAGGAAAATAATCAACTGTTTCCATCAGTTTTTCTGTAATAAGGGCTTGCAAGTGCAAGAAGGGCCCATCTCAACCAAGATCCGAGCACTTACCTGAGTAACCAGTGATATCCATAGCTTTGAGATTCCTGCATTTAATGACTGTTAAGGTGAGGCGACCTGCAGTTGGTAAATAACAAAGGGAAAACATGATCTCTCCCAGGTCCACGCTTTCCTTCAATAAAACAGAGAACACATTATATTGGAAACGTGCGAGACCCAGGAAGGCTGCCCCCACCCTCCACCACAATGCTTCGTGCAGGACTCATGCAGCACTCACGCTGAAACAGGCTTTCCTCTGGTCTGCCATGTTCAAGTGAATGACACTTTACTATATGGCGGTGCTTCCTGCGTATCCCAACATTATTTGGCTAAAAATGAATATAGGGAACAGGAGAAAAAAGTGCGTCCAAATGTTACAGCTTCAAATCATAATTAAGGATAATATTCCACTGCCTCAGTGGAGCATGTGCTTCCCATTGCAACATTACGGCTAATGCACTCCTCGTGTTCTGCTCCGTTGCTTACGCAGAACTGAAGTGATATCTAACACCAAATGAAGGCCATTAAGGAAATTATATTAGGATTGAGTTTTGCTTGAATGTACAATCTATATCTTCTAGTGCCAAGTGTGTGACACTAACATCTGTTTGCTCAAATGAAGGAATGTAATACAAACACAGAGTGAGGTCACAGAAAGCTGAGCCCTCAGCAGGCAGCGGTGCTGTGTTCTCTGGTCGTACACTGCAAGAGATTCCACGAGGGACTTGCTAGGACACCCAGTGCTCAGCAAAGGTTTACAGACTTAGCTGGTGCCTAACATTTCAGCAGAGAACGCAGATAACTCAGTAACGTGGTGTTTTTCTCAAAGTTGAGCATGAATTACTAGGTAGTTACAGACCGGGGCGGGTCATAGTTTTAAAACAGAAGAGAACCATAAAGTGCTTGAACTATTCAGTGGCAACTGAACTTTTAGATTTTTGACATGCATACTGTTGTTTGGACCACCAGTTCTTCCGAGATGCCTTCAAAGAGCTAACAAATGCAGCATGAGGCATGTATATATATGTGTATAAATAATAAATTAACCAGCAGATGGCACTCAGGAATGTTTAGTAGTTTCTGGATTACACGGAGGCAAATACAGTTTACTCTTTTAGTGGCCCATAAAACAACTTTTACACATCAGTCTTAGCACTTCTTGTACTGGCAGTTTATGTACTGCACCTCCTAAAAACCCATTCTATCATTGCCTTCCTCATGGAAATTCAGGAGGGAAAAAAAAAGCAAAACCAAGCAAACAAATCCAAAACAAAAGTATCATTTAAACTAGAAAGCATTATCGTCTGAAGTCAGCAGAAAGATTTCCAAACATCTTCCAAAAATGGATGTTAAAAAAAAGTATCTTATTTTGCACATACAGATCCCGCATCTGTAGAGCACACAACCCATTTATTTTTGGAAACAGAGTGTTTGATTCATTTCAATGTGATATAATGACCTGCTGAAGAGAAATTGTAGCTGTAGAGTGATGGAACTAGAAAGACAAGTAAATGCATTAGGCACTTAAAGCTGTGCTAAGTGTTGGGAGAATAGATCTTGTTGATGGATGAGATTTTTGCCAAATGATTTCCTTCTTGTTCTCTGGTAAGGCAAAGATTAGATATTTATTCCACTTAGACATGCAGAATGTTAATGAACATTATATAAAAGTCTTGATTCTTGAGAAGACTTCACTTGACTAGCACATAAACCGAAAAGGTTCTCAGGCACAGAGTGGTCAAAAGACGCAGTGGCAGCCAAATGTTTTCTGGACAGAACAGTGTGTGTCTCGTCTTGTAAGGATCTAATAAACGTTGCCTCAGAAGGTGCTATTTGCTGGTAAATAAGAGTTTAATACTCTCACCCACTCAGAGTTCCCACGCTGATCTCTTGAGTGCCTTAACAGACCAACAGCTTCCTAATCAGCTTTCCTTCCAACGCAACAAAATGCTCTGAGTCCCAGCCTCATTGTCAGTGACCCGTAATGAAATGTGTGGAAACATTTACTGAGTTACTATTCCTCTATCTTTAGTATCTTAATGTGTCTATCAGGAGCTGAATTTCTTGCCTCACAAAATATTACTAGAGGTGTCTTATGAAAGTACCAGGATCACTTCCATCACACACGGAAGAGTTTTAGAGCCCCTGCAGTTTCTAAGTCTTGCCTGCGTGTCACCCACGGCACCTTGAATATAACGGGTGACCCCGAGCCGAGCTGCTGTCTGGGAAGCTGAGCAGCAATGAACGATTTTACTGACAATAGAAAAGAATTTTAAAAGAATACTATGAAATTATTAGAAATGGTTGTTCTACTCCCACAGAAGTGAGCACCTGAATCTCCCTGTGTGCCGGCTGCCCTGGATGCTGCATCTACCGCACAGTGCAAGAGCAATGGGTGTCCGGGGGACACACTGGGCTGGGTCGATTCTTTCATACGTTCTTCGGCCAGTGTAGGTTTGGGAGGGACAAGGGCAGGAAACCTTGGACACAGGTGAGAGAAGAGAGCAGCCCTACATGAGCTTGTGAGAGCACCCTCTGAGCATCATCTCATCTTCCATTCCTCCCCTTGCACTGAGAGGACATATTCAGGGTATAAAGCTAACATAAATTGTTCTTTCACCTCGTTGTATTAGGTCAAGAGATTTTTCTTTGCAACCATAAATACAGGAGAGTAAAATGTATCCTGTGGGTACATTATTTTCTTGCAGATTATAGACATTGGGACATTTCCAAAATTCGTATCAGTACCTCTTAGGAAATAATGGAAGCTCTGAATCAATAACCTTTGCAGACATGAAACCAAAAATGTTTCACTGATTCACAAGCTGTACAATCATTAATTAAATAGTTGAGTGCTAGCTATTTGAATAGCTTATATCATTACTTAAGCGTGTTCCTGTCTTCTTACCCACACAATTGATCTTATGCATTATTAAGTCACCCAGAGCTTTCCCTGGGTATTAAGAAAACTGTATTTACCCTTCTCATTTTTGATTAAGCAGAAATGTCCTTGAGTGTGTTACAACTGGCTGAGATGTACCAATATTGGCCCATTCCCAAAGAATGGCACAGAGAGAATGAGCAGGCAGAGCCAAATGCGACACTTGACATTTCCATGCTGTTTCTGCTCTTCTCACACCTTCTTTAGAGACTTTTCCCTCAATAACCCGTTCTGTTGCTGTATCTTCACCTGTTTTTGTGTTGTTTTTTCCCTCATTAAATTAGTTTACTTAGTCAGCTAGGAAAACACCCACTATTTCTTGCACAACTATCCTGGCGAAACACAAAATACACACAGGTTAAAAACTCCATAACCTTCTCCTGCAGCTTCATGGTTTATGGGCTTTTCCTCTAGCGAGACCAAGTGTAACCCCTTCCTTGTTTGGTCCTTTCCCTTTGAACTCTTCAGCCTTACCTTGCTCTTTGTATGCTGATCTTATAGCAAGAAAAGGGAAACTCTGTGCCACCACACAAGTGCCTTCAGCCCAGGATTCCACAGCACGTCACAGCCAGCCCAGCAGAGCTGACCGTGAGCCGGGTTTCAGAGGCCAAGCAGATGCAAAGGGGTCGATGCCTCCAAGATGCTTCCTTTGCCAGGTGAATGGATGCGCCTGATGCCTGCTTGCCTCGTTGCCAGTGTTTTTGCTTTCATTACCATCCACTAATCGTAGTAGGTATGGCTACTTGAGGACTGAAAGCCAAGAGCTGTGAACACCCTGCTAGCTAATGCCACCGGCTTTCCATGTGGTTGATCCTGTGCCTCCCTCCCACCTCGCTTGCGCGCAAGATGCTCAAAAGGCAACTCAGCTGCAGCTCGTAGCCAGCCGCAGCCATGCCCGCGGTACGCGGCAGGCGTTGCACCTCTCTCAGTGTCCTCCGACAGGCAGGGCAAAAGCTGCGCTGCCGCAGAAGCGCGATGGCTGCTGTGCCCTGCCAGGGCCAATGCGCTGCACCACGTTGTATTCCCCACCCCATGGGGCGAAGGAGAGTAAAGGTATGGCATGAGCTAAGAAGGAAGCTGCAGGACAGATTTCTTGCAGGTCATGGTGTTATGCCAATCACTGGGAAAGATTTCACAGGGCCCATGCTTTTAGCCTCAGAGGGTGAGGACATCTTGTATTCCATTTTCAGAAATAACAATGTGAAATGACAAAGACAGCAACTGACTTGGTGTCCAGCTGCAAAGAGATCAATCATTTGTTTGCCCTGAGAACCAGCCAGGTCCTCCTGGGAGGACAATGGAGGAGCAGACAGCTATTATGTAGAGGTTAATGCCATTGCTTCTGCACTCAGCAATCAATGTGAGAAAGTGGGTTCTCCTGCCAGCTCCCTGCAACACTGAAAGTGGCTGGGACTTCTCTGATGCTTGGCTTCACCTTCAGGGAGAACTCAACAGAACTACTAAAAGACCCACACATCACGCTCTGGAAGAGCTGCAGCGACACGTCAGAAATGCTCTCAGCGCAGTAAAGACCAGCCCTTTGATGGGTTGGTAATGATCCTCCAGAGCTATTTCTTACTGCCATCACGTGCACGTGGCAGACAACTAGAGCCCAAGACTCTTCACCTGTCGACAGGAACCCAGACAGGGAACACACTGAACCCCTCACTTGCTTTTCTGCAAATCTGTTATCAGCGAGACTCGCTGTGGGTGGGATAACAGCAAGTTACTGTGCAAGAGGATGAAATTCCAGTAAACCAGGGCTCTGACAGACTTCTGTAGGTTACCGGGGCTAACGGTACCATCTGCAATAAACCTACAAGCTGGCGGCTGTGCAGGACATACCCCTTCAGGCCATCCAGCCAAAAAAGAGAATCCCAACCCACCCTGCTCTGGAACCATCCAGCACACAGCCCGTACCTGCCCTCGGCGTGCAGCTACCACACCAGGCTGTGCCACGGCACCGTGCTGCAAACCCCCAGGGCAGGGACGACTCTCCAAAGCAGATACTCACCGTCGTTGCATACTGAATGTCTTTCCAGATGGAAGTCTCCCGGGAAAGGTCTGAGGCCTCAAGCAGGTTCTCCAGGATAACTTCTCCTATCATGTCATGTCTGGAGAACCTGTCAAAGTCAAAGACGCTCAGGTGGAGCTTCCGGCTCGCCAGCTCCTCGTGGGGCACAGGGAAGTGGAAGGACTCATCGAAGGTGGGATTCAGAGTCTTCCTGTGGACTCGTGTCTGGAACTTGCGCTTTCTGTCAGGCAGGAGGTAGATCTTCACATAGGGATCTGAGCTGCCGCAGAAGTCTTTGGCTGGCAAGTCAAAAGCCCCGAGAATTCGGACAGTCAGCGTCTCGTTCTCGTAGTCATACTTGAGAGTGAAGTTAATTTTCCCACAGGTTTTTGCTGCCTCTTTTTTGGGGTCGTCCGAGTCAATAGGCTTTTGCTTATAGAGTTCGGGCTTAATGCGACCGATGCTGGTTGGCTGCTCAGCCACAGCTGGTGGGTCCATGCCGTAGTCCATGCTGGATACGTGCATCTGCCGTGGAAGGTGCCTTTTGAAGGAGATGTGCCTGCAGGAGGAAGATGCGACAACTTTATGGTTTTCGAAGGACTTTTCTCTCCTTTTTCTCCCCTGAACTGCTAACACTAGGAAAGGAGGGAGATCACACAGACAAGTGCAATAGGTGCTCCTGACCTAAGCACAGAAGCTATGCACTTTATGGAGATGAACGCTGAAGGGAACACCTCCAGTGGTCAAAAGAACCTAACTTTCCCAGTATTTGGAGTAGCCTGCACTTTTTTCACCTATTACACATGTAACACCCCACAGCTAGATATGAGACCCAACAACTTCTCCATTGGAAAGGTATAATAAAAATAGGATCAGCATGTACACGACAAAGAGGCAGTCAGCTCTCCTGCAGTTACGTAACAGAGTATGTGGCACAACTGCAGATAGCACCATGTTTATTTTAACTCCAGCTCCTTAGACAGGAGGCTGTGATTGATTGGTGCTTTATTAATTCTGCATTGCTGTAAAATCAGCTTTCTGAGCAATGGCTGTTATTGCAGTTGCATTCTCACACATATCACGGGCACGGTCAACAAAGCAAGCAGAAGTGCTGGGGCACTGCCAGGACGCTGCCATCACTGTTTCCTGTCCCAGTTTCACAGCCTTCTGTGTCAAGGAAGAGGTATCAGAATTCTCAGTATTCTTGCCAAGAAGATGCCCCAGGTTCATAAAGCTTTACCCTGATTTACTGAGTACGATCCTGACATCTCTGTCCCTGGCTGAGCAGAGACATGCACCGAGCACCCGCACTGAGCGCAGCTGGTTCTAGGCTTGTGCAGCGAGAGATACGTCAATTCTGCTTATCTAATTGTTTCTGCTAGGAGCCACAACAACAAGAGAGCAAAAAAGGTCTAATTCTGTCTGACAGCATACCGTCATTGATACTTCAGCCTGCATCTCATGTTGGAAGAAAATTAAAGTGGCCAAAGTGTACCGAGGGTTTGACACAATGAGGTCAAGTCACAGTAAAGGGGCTTGGATCCTTGATTTCTTTAAAAGGGCCTGTGGTAAGCCAGTCTTTACACACTAACTGGTTAATGACCAGTCTCTAGAAAGTAATCTGGCAGGTAGGTGGGTGTGCCTCCCTGAATGTCCCAGAATCAGGGGCTCCACCAGCCACTCGGCACATCTCCGTGCCTCCTGCTCACCGGGTGGAAGACGCAGGTTCCGTGGTCTGCCGCTGCATCCGCGCACGCCGCAGGACATGGTCTTTCATGGACATCTGGACCTCTGCAGGGATGTCTGGTGACGTGTGGCTGATCTTCACTGCTGCCTCCAGGAAACTTATGGTAGCCCTGTCCTTCAGCTTGTCTGCCATGTTCTCCTTATGGCAGCCTGCCTCGCTCCGCAAGACGGCCAGGTTAGAAGAGAGGGTCTTGTTCCTCCAGGGAACCCAGCACAGCTTCCAGAAGAGAAACAGAAAAACTGCCACCAGGGCCACTCCACACACAATAACTATCACGGCAAGGACGCTGACAGAGAGCTCTACAGGGAGAGAAGGCAAGAGCGACAGGGAGAGGGGAAGAATGGGAGAGGACAAAAAAAAGAAAGATGGTGAGAATCCACAAGTAAAGGGACGAAATGGTCCAAACTGACTTACATCATGGCTAAAGGAGAGCTCTTAGCAGGTTCTGCAAGCGAGAATCACACCCAAGGGAGCATCTGCAGGCAGACTTGAGAGCCCTCCTTGCCCCAGACACATCTGGGGAGAAATGGGTGTCTCCAGACAGCCAGAGCTATGAAGCTTTATACCACGATGCTTAGATTGGTTATAAAATAACATCTTTGGTTTGTTTTGTGGTATTGGTAAACTGCTGAGTCTGAGAAGAATTGTGGAATTGCACGATAGAAACAAGCTCCAGTGATGTACTGGCAGAAACTGCCTTTTTGCTTCATACCCCAGGTGTTCAGACACTGTATTAAAAAAAAGTCTATCTACCACGATCCTGGAAGCAGATTGTTGTTGTGCTATCAGCGCTCACATATTGCCCAGATGTGCCCACAGGGAATAAAAAGTAAATATCAACACCAAAAAAAAAAAAGCACAAGCTGCTGATGCAGTGAAACCAGACATAGAAGGAGGCTGTACAGAAAGCATGACACATTCTTCCTTATTCTGAATAGCACAGAAAGCTGTGTATGTTCTCTGGCTCTCTGAGTCACTTTTACTTCATATGCTATATATTTCAGCCATAAGACAACCTTCTGTTTCCTTGGGTTGTATAGTTCAGTATTGTAGAGCTGTTAAAAGGCATTTAATGTTTAAGGCTGAGAAAATCTACTGAAATATGAGCAAAGAGTAAATGTACATCTTAAATAAATAATAATAATAGAAAAGAGCCAAATACTGTTGATGAACCATAACAGCAGAATATTAAGGAACCCATTTATATCATCAAACTTTGCTAACATGCTATCTGGGAATACAACTGCTACTATATATTTAGGATTTTCACATCAGTTCTTGTAAGTGAAATTTCAAGAAAGCACCAGATATTTATTCTGGGACAAGGCAATTCTGCTAAACACCTGGGAAACCATCTGTTCTTTCTGATATCCCAGAGGAATTGCAGCATTTCTCCACAAAATTACCTAGCTTAGTAAATTCATTAAGAGCTTGAGATGAAGCATCCTGATGGCCACAAGTTCTGGAAAGGAGGGTGTGGGAGCTGTCAGCAGGTGTGGATGGACACAATAGATGCCATCTAGAAGTCTTTGCAGCTTTTCCCTGCCCTCACCCATCTCCTGTAAAGATCAGACTGCACCATTTATTTTCTGCTGTGGCTCCAAAGTGGAAATACAGATCACTACTGAGGTGAATAAATAGGTCCCGTCCTATTCAATAATGAATTGGATTGTACAAGTCAGCAGTGAAGCTTCCATAGAGATTTGGCTAAATGTATTCTCACCAAAGCAGAGAGCACAGAGGTACCACTTTCCTATCCTTGAAGTCTTGGAATTGTGCCCAGGAAACTCAGCACCACTTTCACAAAAAAAACCTGAAGAACCTGGACTTTTTGCAAATATGTCTGTGTTGTTACAAAGGAAATAGTTTCAGGGCAGAATCTGTCACCGTTTGGAGCTGTTACGTGCCAAAAGTTTCCATTAAGGTACTTCTGCCCATTCCAAGGAGCTGTATGTCATGCATGACTCTGCCGGCACACCAGACCCGTTATTGGAAAACAACAGAGATAATCAGTTATCCCTTCTGAAAACCTGTTGCCAGCTTGAGAAAGATGTTAGTTCATGTCACCTCTTGCTGAGCTGGCATTCACAATGCATTTGACAGGATTCACAGATACTTTTATGCATGACCTCCTACTCTTTCCTCTGACAGCTCACATAAAGTGTAAGTAGAAGGGATCAGGATTTTACAGACATTTTTTTAAGTGTCTGCCTGGCAAGAATATTGGTTTGTCTGAACATGACATTAAGTTCCCCAAGACTTTTTCATGACCTATTAAACTTAAATATCAGTTAGACAGAGTTGACTTTAATTGATTTAATGAGCTTTCTCTTATGAATTTGAAAATACCAGTTACTTTTTAAAAAAATACCAGAGCCCCAAGGCATCGCGGCATCAGAGAGGGACCCAACACATCACTGAGCTGAGGAAGGTCCTCTCTGAGGGAAAATACAACATGAACTCTCTGTCTATTCTGTTCTCCTCTAGAAAAATAAGAGTTATTTGTTGCTTTGTTACAGGGCTGCAGAAGTGTAGGGCAGCTTCACCCTGGTCATACCTACCTCAGTGCTGTAACCTGAGAGACACGGGAGATATCGCCGTGCTGGAAAACAGCCGTCGGAAAGATAAAGCTTAAAAGGAGGAGGTGGCAAATACAAATGAACACGGCTTTTTTCCAGTCTCACTCCCCTCCAGCAGCAGGGGCCACTTCCCTGAGGAACCCTCAGCTGGAAATTGCTTTTGGCTACAGAGCAGCGATGACGAAGCTCTCACATGATTAACGAGGAGGGAGGGGAGAACAAGCAGCAGGAAAGAAATGGACGCAGACACGTACGTTTACCTGCATGGGTTGATAGAGTGAGTCATTGAGTCTGGTGGAACAGAAACAGCTCCTTCAGGGATGGTCTGCCTCACTCCTTTTGAAGGCAAAGGGTTAGTGTGGTTCGTAAAGCAAGAGACAACACCCACCATCAGCAGTCCTGGTTATTTGCTGCAAAGCAGAGACTTCACCAAAAGCATTTCCATACCAGGAGAACTGGGGAAAGGCTACGCTCAGCTAGGAATGAACTTTTGATGAGTTGTGCCACAGATTCCCCATCAGAGCAGCTGTTGGGAGAGAGAAAGAGCTTTCTAAACCAGAAAAACCACTTGCTACCAGGGCAGATAAATCCATGGATCATGGTCTTTGCTCTGCTTTCCTTTAGTAAACAGGAGAAAGCAAGCCATACCTGAGAGACTAATGATAAATGATCATTTATCACCACTAATGCAGTAGGAGGTACTGTTAAACAACAAAACTGAGTCAATGGAAATGCTGATCTCCCACTGCTACAGTCTGGCAGAAAGGAAAATAATGAACCAAAGACTTCAGAGACAGCACAAACAGCTTAGACTGACTTGTTATGAAAACAACACGGTGCTTTGGTTTTCTTGCAGCAGGAAGAGTTATACGTCTATGAAGGAAAGGGAATGAGGGCAGTGAGGAGCTGGGTGATGCTCCGGAGCTGTGTCCCCCAGGACTGTCCCTTCTCCCATGACTAAGGCAGCATCCTCCTCGGGTGCCACCAGGAGTAGTGGCACGACCAGCATGACACGGGGACATGCAGGGGTACCCCAAGTGAGTGCCAAGGGATGCAAGCTGGGAGAGCAGATTGTATTCAAGTATTTAGATCATATTCAAGCCTTTAAACACAAATGAGCTTCACAAACATGAATATTTGGCAGAGAACTTGAGCAGTGAAACGTTTTTTGACGGAACAAGCTCACTGCGGAAAAGACCCAAAGCTGACATCGAGCAACGGGGATGTCAAGAGCACAACAGAGGCGATCTGAAACCCATCAACTTTACCAGCAAACAATCTCATTTCTCTTTTAACCTGACTTCTCAGTTTGTGTTTTTCCTGTCTTTCATAACATCTAAACCCCTTGCTATTGAATCTCACAACAAATCTCACAGAACGGCTCAAAACTATAAAACTGCTGAGAAGGTCACTACTTTATACTGCCTTTTAAATAAAAGAAGAGATGGCCCGTGGCAGGACAAAGGGACTCTAGAGCAATTTAAAACTGTAAAGCTAAAAGTAAATTTAGGAAAGGGGAGCAATTTCTTGCTTGGTCCAGCCCTTTCCTTGCCATGCACTCAGAAAGCAGCTCATCAGTACAACTATCCCTTTTGTTTCATCTTGGATGGGAACTAATTAAGAGAATATGGTGGAACTACCTTTCAGCTTTATGTCCCTGATGACTTCATAATACCCAAACTGAGTTACCAAAGGGGATAGTTAGCAAAGTCCAAACAGAAACGATTAATAATATGACAAAGCCATGATTACAACAGTCTATTAACTGCAAGACAATACCGGTCTAATTATGGCAACATTGACTTTTATTACTGTGAAGTAGCTTGTACAATCGTTAAAGAGATTCATGGATACATCTGAGTTTAATGTGAAGAGTTATATTTAATGTCTTGAAGATCTAATTTAGCTTTTCTTCCACCCACTCCCCACAGAGAAAACAAAATAGGCTTGACAGGTCTCTCAGCACTCCACCATCTATTATTCATTCCAGTTACCTGTTGGATTTAAACAAAGTTTGAACACCACGAGTGGAAGTTCAAGGGGGCTGAAAAACTTAAATGCTATAGGTGGAGGCCCAGCATGAGCCAGGCTCATGCTGGAGGAGCTCAGCAGCCACCAGAAGCAATGCCACTGACCCAGCGGTCCCCGGCCTGGAGCCCTCAGCACCTGCAAGAGAACAAACTGGCTTCCATGGCCCTGGAGCAGCCCCAGCAGAGCCCCCTCCCCAAGGCAGCGAGGGCACTTCAGCTTGACTGTCTGCTCAGGGTCGTACCGGCAGCACGTTTGGTCTCACTGCTCTGTCATCGTGCTCAGACCCAGAGAAAGCCCCTGACTGGATCCTGCCTAGAGCAAATAATGGGCATCTTCCCTGCAAGAGCTTCTTTCTGGTAAGTTTTCCAGTGGCCAGTGGACAACCTTAGCACCAGGGAGAGCTGGGGCTGCTTTGTTCCTCACTCGCTCCCAGCTGTACTGGGCTGTGACTTGGAGCACGTAAGGTCTTGCCACAGCAAATGCTCCTGGAAGAGCAGTTACAGGAGATGGCAGACCCCAGAGGTGATGGGGATGTGTCTTAGCCCTGTTTGTACTGGCTGCACAGCTGGTTTTCTGGTGTAGTATATCAGCTGTTGCTCCTACCACATCAGGAGATATTTCCAGACTTCTCTGTCCATTTTTGCTCCATTTTTTTAATTTCAACAGTGATTGTGAGAATGTATTTTTCT